TTAGTTGTATTCGTTTGTAATGACCATACAAACACTATAGTACATTTGTAATGTATAATATACTTTGGTTTTGACAAAGAACACCAACGTATTTTCAGTTGATAGTTGTTTAGCTGTTTTCAGTTCAGAATAAACTAGAGCAATTTACACCAACCTTATTTTTAAATTTATTCTTCAGTAATAAGCTACGTTAAACACCTCAATTTCACATATTATTATCTCAATACGGGAAGATTTATAATAAAGCAAGGTAAGTCGATATGTTATAATTTAATGTAATCGACTCGTCAAAATGTTACGTGTTTTATAAAGTAAGATTTGGATACGTGTACTGAAACTTCGATCTAAGTTTGTTTTCATTCTTTTGAGAAACTTGCCACTTCCGCAATAAATTTTAAGTTTTATTTTTATCCGGTGCGAATTGGTGCGGATGAAACTTCCTTCAATAATGCGCATGAGCAGACGTTAAAATTACTGAAAGAATGAATTCGAATTTTATTCTAGAGATGCAGTATTATAACTGAAAAAATGGTATGTATAATCGAAATGAAGAGAATTAAATTATTTGTGGTAAATGAAAAAAAAAATCGATACTCAACTAATCGCTTCAAGTTCGCCAACCTATTGTATTTTTTTAAACAGTTTTCTTTTGTTACAAGAATCGACCCCAACCGAAAGCAAAGTAGGTCAATACAGTGCACGATTTTCAATTCAGCGAGGTCAATAGGTTGCTATGAGATTACGCTCTCAAATTTTAATTACGTTTTTGGCTATTTTATATTTTGTAAAGTTACATTTATATTCTCCCCAAGTCATTTACTTTAGGTGTATACGAACTAAACAGCGGTGTATAAAAATACTTCGAGAATATTTGATCAAGTTTTCTTACAAACCACAACGCCACCTATGTCTCAAACCCCTATCCCCCAAAACACCGTACTCATTCAGAAATTCTTTTGGCTAACGTGACAATAAATAATGGTGTGTGGTAGTGCGGCGAGGGGTGTGGTAGTGTGGCTAGGGGTGTGGTAGTGCGGCTAGGGGTGTGGTAGTGAGGCTATGGGTATGTAAGACTAGGAATGTTGTAGTGAGGGTAGGGGTGTGGTAGTTAGGATAGGGGTATGGTAGTGTGGCTAGGGGTGTGGTAGCGAGGCTAAGGGTGTGGTAGCGTGGCTAGAGGTGTGGTAGTGTGGCTAGGGGTATGGTAGTGTGGCTAGGTGTGTGGTAGTGTGGCTAGGTGTGGTAGTGAGGCTAGGGGTGTGGTAGTGTGGCTAGGGGTGTGGTAGTGAGGCTAGGGGTATGTAAGACTAGGAATGTTGTAGTGAGGGAAGGGGTGTGGTAGTTAGGATAGGGGTATGGTAGTGTGGCTAGGGGTGTGGTAGCGAGGCTAAGGGTGTGGTAGTGTGGCTAGAGGTGTGGTAGTGTGGCTAGGGGTATGGTAGTGTGGCTAGGTGTGTGGTAGTGTGGCTAGGTGTGGTAGTGTGGCTAGGTGTGTGGTAGTGTGGCTAGGTGTGGTAGTGTGGCTAGGTGTGTGGTAGTGTGGCTAGGGGTGTGGTAGTGTGGCTAGGTGTGTGGTAGTGTGGCTAGGTGTGGTAGTGTGGCTAGGTGTGTGGTAGTGTGGCTAGGGGTGTGGTAGTGAGGCTAGGGGTGTGGTAATGTGGCTAGGGGTGTGATAATCTGGCTAGGGGTGTTGTAGTGTGGCTAGGGGTGTGGTAGTGAGGCTAGGGGTGTGGTAGTGTCGCTAGGAATTTTAGTTGGGATAAGGGTGTGGTAGTGTGGCTAGGGGTTGGGTAGTGAGGATAAGGGTGTAATAGTAAGGCTTGGTGTGTGGTAGTGTGGTTAGGGTGTGGTAATATGGCTAGGGTTGTAATAATCTGGCCTGGGGTGTGATAATCTGGCTAGGGGTGTGGTAGTGTGGCTAGGAATGTTAGTGGGGCTAGGGGTGTGATAGTGTGGATAGGGGTGTGGTAGTGTGGATAGGGATGTGGTAGGCTAGGAATGTTAGTGGGGCTAGGGGTGTGGTAGTGTGGATAGGGGTTGGGTAGTGAGGATAGGGGTGTAATAGTAAGGCTTGGGGCGTGGTTGTGTGGCTAGGGTGTGATAATGTGGCTAGGGGTGTGGTAGTGTGGTTAAGGATGTGGTATTGTGGCTAGGGTGTGATAGTGTGGCTAGGTGTGTGGTAGAGTGGCAAGGGGTGTGATAGTGAGATTAGAGGTGTGATAATGAGACTAGGGCTGTGGTAGTGAGGCTAGGGGTGTGGTACGCATTTGTTGATGACGAGCTAACGCAATGTTGCCATTTATTATTTTAATGAAACATTCAGGCGGACCACATTACTGGTAAGATGAAGTTAGCCCTCTCTCCCTCCTTTACTCCCGTCTCCCACCCCCTCCACACTCTCTATCTTTAAAGATAGAAACAATATGGAAAAAAAGCATATTACATGTAATGCAATATTTTGGGATTAATTAGTTTTGATGTTATAGAAATGATGTTGGTCATGTGAGAACGGGATTAAGCGAGATTTGCAGGAAATACTACACCGTCATTACCAACAGTAGAGTAACAAGATTAGCTCTTTGTTATACTCAGCTGGGGATGTATTAGAACCCCGTACGTCTTTGGTTACATGATGGTAACTGGGCAGCTGTTTGTTGGGTGAATAGAGATTTACAGTGGCTACCTGGGAGGATTATGTGGATACTTTATGGCTACATGAAAGCTGATGATGGCTACACGATAGTCTTTGGTGGGTGCTTAAAGACTAAAAGTTGTCAGATAATGGCTAGCTGATGGCTACATAAAGCTGATAATTGCTAGGTAATGGCTAGAGTATGGCTACATAAAGCAGTTTGATGGCCAGATAATGGCTAGCTTATGACTACATGAAAGCTAAATGATGGCCAGGTAATGGCTAGCTTATGGCTACATGAAAGACGATTGATGGCCAGGTAATGGCTAGAATATGGCTACATGAAAGGCGATTGGTGGCCAGTTAATGGCTATGTATGGCTACGCGATAGTTTTTGTTGGGTGCTTAAAGACTAAAAGATGTCAGATAATGGCTAGCTTATGGCGACATGAAAGCTGTTGAATGCAGAGTTTCTTCCAGGCATCTTTTCGGGGGGGGGGGACTAAGCCCCCCGAAAATTTTTTACCCCCCCCCCCCCCCGAACGAAATGAAATTTATATAATTTATATAGAAAATATATACTTTTAACAGTGTCCGCCCGCACCCGGAAGAAAGTCTACCGCCCCCCCCCCAAAAGAAAAAATTTCGAGTGCCCCCCCCCCCCCCCCCCCCGGAGAAAAAAGTCTGGAAGAGACACTGGTTTAATTGCCAGATACTGTCTACATGAAATCTGGTTGATACCAAGATAAAGGCTTTCGTATGATTCCTTGGTGGATTCCTATGTTTATTTCATTTGCAACAAATAGATACCTCATACCTATTTGGTAGGCGATCCTTGGCTATTTTATGTCATCTAGTTGGTCAAATAATTTTGTCCGGTGGCTACTTTATGAATACCTAATTGGCTACCAATTTCTACCTGATTGGCTACCTGATTGGCTACCAATGTCTACATTATGTCTACCTGATTGGCTACCTGATTGGCTACCAATGTCTACCTTATGTCTACCTAATTGGCTACCAATGTCTACCTTATGTCTACCTTATGTCTATATAATTGGCTACCAATGTCTTTATTATATCGACCTAATTGGCTACCAATGTCTACCTTATGTCTACCTAAACGGCTACCAATGTCTACCTGATTGGCTACCAATGTCTACCTTATGTCTACCTTATGTCTACCTAATTGGCTACCAATGTCTACCTTATGTCTACCTGATTGGCTACCAATGTCTACCTTATGTCTACCTAATTGGCTATCAATGTCTAATTTATGTCTACCTGATTGGCTACCAATGTCTACCTTATTGCTACCTGATTGGCTACCAATGTCTACCTTATGTGTACCTAATTGGCTACCAATGTCTACCTTATGTCTACCTAATTGGCTACAAATGACTACCTTAGGTCTACCTGATTGGATACTAACTTGCAAGGTACTTATTATGGCTGACTTGACTCAGTTACACCAAAGAAGATGTTTTGTAATGATCATGTCATATTTCATACAGAAAATTTTATAAATGATCAATTTTTTCAGTTTAAAATTAAAGTATGAAATTAGTTTTACCCTTATTCTTCAAGCGTGGTTATCAACTGAAAGGCTATATGCATATCTGTAAAAAGTGGACTGGTTTTATCAACACATTTTTTATAGCAAATCACTGTTGAGTGGTATCGTTTCTCACCCATTTAAAAATTCATAATTCAATTTAGTCAAACTAAAAACATAAAAACTTTTTTTTAATATTTTATTTATTTATCAGTACAACACATTCGTTTTAAATCTGATCTATCTTGGGTGGCGCTAACATCCAGTAACCGAAAAAAAAGAGTTTCAACCTGTTTTAAAACTGTGGGGGGGGGGGGGGGGGGGGGGGGGGAATGAACCCAAACCTACTTGCTGCACCGAAGGGAATTAAAAGTAGCCTATGTGAGAACTATATAAAAAGCTGATATATATATATATATATATATATATATATATATATATATATATATATATATAAAGTATGTCTATATATATACATATTTATGTGCGTTTGTGTATGTGTGGGAATTTGTGTCCGAGTACATAATATGTATTCACCCTCATTTTAAAGGTCTAAATAACATTCAACGACTCAATATTATTAGTTTTGAAATTTTAGCAATTGATTATAAACTACCTCATTTTGGCAAAATGTGTTGTTGTTTTCTTTAACTTATGCAATTTTGGCCAATAAAAGAAAACAATTTCTTTTTAAAATACGAGATTTTAGCTTAATAGTACAATCCATGTTTTAAAAAAGTGTTGACCTAATTGATTAAAATCGGGGTGACATGTACAGTAATCCTTGACGTTAGCAGAACGTACCTCCGTTGGCATAGCAATGGATGTACTCGTTTTGAAAACAGGAACAATCTTCACAGTCGTTTTTAGCGAGGGCCTTCACAAACTTGCGATCTGCGTAGGTTGTTCCTTCGTACGTGCATGAGTTGTATGCTAGGTAATAAGTATATGGTAAAAAAATATAGATAGAGTATGTTGCTTATGAGGTAATGTGGCCGCTTTTACTCTCACAGAAATTAAAAACTACTATTTTATTTGATAAACAATTTATATTTTTTAAAGCATATAACATATAGGGTATTATTTTGAATAAGTCAGTCGTAGGGTTATTGAAAGTAGTCGTAACAGAAAATAAAAAGTTTAAAAAATATTGCAAGCTATTTAAAATACGAATTGATTATATTGCTATAGATTTTATTACATCGCCATTACTAGATGGCAAGGATTTAGTACGGCTGTATTTTTAAGCATGCGGGTCGTTTGATTGTACGTTTTTGTTTCATGTCAACAATGTGTTGCATGTTAGCTATGGTTGAGTACATCATGATCATATCCCGGCAAATGTGGCAAAGAACTTCAAAGAACTCTACATACAGGAGGGGTGGGGCTAGAGTGGCAAGCACTATGCCTACTCGTCGTTTTTTCGCTGACGTGGGACAGGTACACATTAGAGCTGAATGGACTAAGGGAAGTTATGCAGACTCGCGTCCTGGATTTGAACTCGAGACTTTCGGGATTAGAAGTTGTAAGCTCGGCCATCTGCGCACTATGTCTCACACTGTTAATGGCTTTGTAATGTTTACATAGGGATGGCGTGGCCAAGCAGTAGAGCGCTAGACTGCTAACCCAAAAGTATCGAATCCAGGTTCAAGTGAGTAGTACTCCTGAGTTCACCCAGCTTTGATAGGTACAAGACTCATGTTAGGGGAAAAATAAAGGCGTCTGGGCATAGTACTGAACACACTATCCTTTCTTATGGCGAGGTCACAGAAACAACTACACAGAGGCGCAGCGATCCTAAACGGCGCCCGGGGACAAACTTTCAATTTGGCGCCCCCTCGGGAGGAAATTTTCAATTTGCACCCCCCCCTCAAATTTTCGATTTGCAACCCCCTCCCCCGAACTCTTTTTGATTAGCACCCCCTCCTTCAACTTTTCGATTTCCACCCACCCCCCCCCCCCCCCAAACTGCAAAAATGCAGCTAAATTGACATTTTAATTTGTTTTTACAACCCATTTTGGCGCCCCTTAAGATCGGCATCCGGGGACATGTGTCCCCCCCCTGCCCCACCCCCCATCGCTACGCCTCTGCAGCTACGCCTGCCCCAGGTGGAAAAGAGGTTGATGACGTGTACGTCTTGATAACTATTGGGCAACATTCGATATTTAAATCAAATCTTCACGAACAGGGAATAGAAAACGAGAGTTAGACGAACGTCACTCAACTCAGCGGGAGAAATCTAAAATAGATTTATAATCATGGATAGGTGGATTGTCGGAGAGGACAGATAGAAGAGAGAGAGACGGGGGAGGGGGGGGGAAAGATGTGTAGAGAATTTATGTTATATGTTGTCTGGAACGCTAACAGCCTAGAATACCCCCCCCCCCCCCACACACACACCAATCCCGTTACCTTGTCACCTAAAAGTTCGTGTGCTCATCCGACAATCCTTTTATTCAAGGCCCAACATTTACTACAATCAACACAATCATCAGGTGCGTAGCGAGGGGGGGGGGGGGGTGCGGACCGCACCGGGTGACACCATTTAGAGGGGTGACACCAAGGCAAAAAATAGCAAAATATATAGAGAAAAAGTTGAGGGTGGGGTGCAAATCGAAAGTTTGAGAGGGGGGTGCAAATCGAAAACTTGAAAGTTTGTCCCAGGGAAGGGTAGCTACGCCTCTGGGGGTTGACACCATTAAGTGCCGCGCCGGGTGACACCCGACCTCGCTACGCCACTGACAATCATTACAATCATTACGAACAATACAATCATTACAATCATTACCATCAATACAATCGGACTTACCAATCCTTGAGCCCTTCGGGACATTCTGGCCGTTGGTTACGGTCAAGATTCCCAGAGACAAAGCCAAAAATAGACAGACAAACTTCATGATTTTTCTGTGAATAGTAAAATAACACACAAACGTTAACACATAACACCGTATTCGATTCTCTCAATAAATCGAGTAGAGGGTGCTAGGTCACTGTTGATACGTAACAAGTACTCGATTTTTTTGTGAAATCGAGTCGTTTGTGTTAGAGCAATGTAAAACCGTTACAAAGAGTTCGATTATGTTTTGATATGCATTAGAGCAAGCACGATTATGATTGTAAATTGTTGGATGAGTGAATCAGGTCTTTTGATATGTTTTGATGTTTACATGTGTGTTAAGCATAAATGAAGTTAATAGCAGCTTCAAGCAATGATATCTAATTAGCGTAAAATATAAATTAACAGTAGAACGCACACAGTTATCAAAATCGATGCAATGAGTTTCTGCGTCCGTATGGTAAGGATATTATTAACCAGTATCGCTGCACTAAAAGAACCGATGACTTGAAACTTTACTACTAACCAAAAGACTAAACTTAAATTTGGCACTGAGCCGAACCATACATCAAATAACGGTATCGTCAGTATGTGAAATTTTTTAAAAAAATTATAAACCTTGTAGATCTATTTATATTATCCTAAATGATAAAAGCAAAAAAATGCTGTGGACTGGAATCCCCAGGGAAAAGGGAAAGTGGGCGGGCCAAAGAAAACATTGAAAAGAACGGTAGAGGAAGAGGCTAAGACAGCTGGGCTCACATGGGCACAGATAAAGGGAGCAGCCCAAAACCGAGTCCGCTGGAAATGTGTAACTGCAACCCTTTGCTCCCCATGAGGCCAGAAAAGAAAGATGATGATGAATTGATAAAAGCAAATCAGATGTTTTAGAAAATCGTTTTTCTTCCTGATACAGAATGTAACACTACCCTGGAATAGTCTTTAAAAAGAAATCTAAATTTAGAACTGTCCACTTTTAAAAGTATAAAGGCCACAATGTGTAGTCTTACATTGAAGCAAAGCTTCAACGTAAATTATGCCAGGTACCAGACAAAGCTGTGTGGGCTCAAGAACATCATTTGAACTGGATACTAATTATTGACAGCGTTTTGATACGCGTGGCGTCTATTACAAGTGATAATTGATATTTTTTTTATATCAGCTCAGGTAACTTGATGCATTGGGAAAAAATAAGTTTTACATTTAGTTCTAACAATTCATTGTGTAGATAAAGTAGAGTTCATAACTTTCTTGACAGTAGCCCATGACAGTAGCCCATGACAGTAGCCCATGACAGTAGCCCATGACAGTAGCCCATGACAGTAGCCCATGACAGTAGCCCATGACAGTAGCCCATGACAGTAGCCCATGACAGTAGCCCATGACAGTAGCCCATGACAGTAGCCCATGACAGTAGCCCATGACAGTAGCCCATGACAGTAGCCCATGACAGTAGCCCATGACAGTAGCCCATGACAGTAGCCCATGACAGTAGCCCATGACAGTAGCCCATGACAGTAGCCCATGACAGTAGCCCATGACAGTAGCCCATGACAGTAGCCCATGACATTAGCCCATGACAGTAGCCCATGACAGTAGCCCATGACAGTAGCCCATGACAGTAGCCCATGACAGTAGCCCATGACAGTAGCCCATGACAGTAGCCCATGACAGTAGCCCATGACAGTAGCCCATGACAGTAGCCCATGACAGTAGCCCATGACAGTAGCCCATGACAGTAGCCCATGACAGTAGCCCATGACAGTAGCCCATGACAGTAGCCCATGAAGTGACGGTCTGGTCAGCATTCAGCACAACCACCATTACTTTCTCCAACGTGAGACAAGTACCCATTTGAGATGGCTGGACTCAGTGACGTCATGTAGACATAACTTCTGACCAAGATCCGAACACGAGACTTCATTGTATTCTTTGAAGCTCACTGCCATCCAACCATGCCATATACACATATGTTTCTTCTTTTTTTTTCCCCATTCGTACCTAAGACACATTGGGCATATGCCCAGCCGCCTTTATTTTCCCTAGCGTGGGTTGGGTACCCATCAGAGCTTGGTGGATTCAGGTTCGTTCAACTAACTTGAGCCCTGATTCGTACTCGAGACGTTCGGGTTAGGCCACGCCGTCCCCCTCTCACCACCCCACAAAAAAAAAAATTAAGTTGTATCAAATTCTAAATTCGCAACACACTAATTGTTATAATGTACCTTTTACAGGCATTTAAATACATATTAATATATGTTCAAATAGCATCAAAATCTAAATTTTAATCATACAGAATACAAAGGCTTACCTTTTAGAATCTGCTACTATCAATGCAAAGTGGTGTAGATAGGTTACGTTATAATATTAAACTGTAACTTCTAATCACATAAATATGTTGTCACTTACCTTGCACTTACTGCTGTAAACTGGTAAGTTATCGCCGAGTAATGTGGGTGGGTGTACAGTGTGCAGTGATTGGCTCACCAAGGTGGTTTAATAGGCGTGGTCTGATGACGTCACATCTGCTCACAGATGTTGGGGATATTTACTGCTAGATCAGTTTTTCTCAAACGTTGTTTACAACTCACCTATACCCAGTGTGTTAGAACTGCTATGAAATATCGTTTATGCGTTTGCTACTCCATTGCTTGTTATTACAATGCTTTCTTTTTTATGGCGGTTTCTTCTTTTTTTTTTTTTTAATGTGAAAAAAAGGCCTCCGTGCCTACTGTTGTTACCGTTATGGAATAAATGAGTAAACACAATTATATTACACTCTTCCGATGAAATTCAAAAACAAACTGAATAGTTTTAATAAAGAAATATTCCGCCATAAATTTTATACTGATGAACAAAAATATTAAATTAGGATTTTCTGGCGTACTTTATTACTGGATCTGGATATCTGCCGAGCAGTGTTTCTTTCAGACTTTATTTCTCCTTGGGGGCACTTAATATATTCGGGGGTGGGGCGGACACTGGTAAAAGTATATATTTTCTATATACATTCAATTTCGTTCGGGGGTGAGGGGCGGGCGGTAGACTTTCTTCGGGTATGGGGGCGGGGCTCCGCACCAACCATCCCCCCCCCCTCCAAGTTATGCCTGGGATAAACTCTGCTGCCTTGCTGGAATATTTGAATTGTCTTCGACCACGGCAGTACTTCTATATTCTGCACAGCCAAATTCTTTCTCAAATCATATGCGTTGGGTGTGCGACTTGACCTCCATATATGTTTAAAGTGGGTGATGTTTTATAATTAATTACATGAATGGTGCGTGGTAGTCGGCACCAGAACTGATTAGACATGACGCCTGATTCCGATGCCTGGTACTCGTTAGGGCTGAGTAGTCTTAGGGACGTCTGGCATGCCTGGTACTCTTTAAGGCTGAGAAGTCTTTGGGACGACGAACTGTCATGCCTGGTACTCATTAAGGCTGAGAAGTATTAGGGACGCCTAACTTTCCTGCCTGGTACTCAACAGAGCTGATTGGACTCAGAGTCGTTTATAAAAATATATTTCAATACGTTTATAATAAAAATAAGATATTGTTTTCAACCCTGCTCTTACAGCATAATTATATAGCATGATACCAGTCTAATGTATTTGAATAGAGTGGGGCAGTTTATTAACACCAAATAGAGTTTTTGCCCAACTCTGTTGTGTCGTATCGTATACTCATACCGTAACACATTCAGTTTTAGCCCAGCACTGTTGTGTCGTATCGTATACTCATACCTTAACACTTTCAGTTTTAGCCCAGCACTGTTGTGTCGTATCGTATACTCATACCGTAACACATTCAACTTCAAATGCTAACACAACCTATCGCACTCACACAAAATCATACACATTTTGATTTACATGTTGTTTATTTATAAGTTCAACACTTGTGTATACACATTAAAAAAGGTAATCTTCCGTGTGGTTAACATCCAGTAACTGAAATGAAAGTTGAAGATTTTAGAAAATGGTAGCTCAATTTTGAAAGTACAAACTTACAACAGCAAACTAGAAGCGTCACAAGGCGGGGAGATTGGGAGGGTGGGGGGGGGGGGATCCGTAAGTGGTGATACCATTTTATGGGTGATTCCGTTTGAGTGGTGACACCATTTATGGGGTGACACCATTTAAAGGGTGAAATCAATTTAGGGTGACAAACTTTTAAAAGGTGACACAATTTAAGTGGTCACACCATTTAAGGGGTGACACCATTTAAGGGGTGACATCCTTTAAAGGGTGACACCATTTAAGGGGTGACACCATTTAAGGGGTGACACCATTTAAGGGGTGACACAATTTAAGGGTGACACCATTTAAGGGGTGACGTCCTTAAAGAGGTGACACCATTTAAGGGGTGACACCATTTAAGCTTTGACAACATCTAAGGGATAGCACTTTTTTAAAGGATGAGATTATTTAAAGGGCGACACCATTTGGGAAAATAGTAAAATGCACTGTTAAAACTATGTTTTACCCAGTTATAGGAAACAAGGGTGACATAAATAACAAGATGAACAATTCTTGGAGCGCAGAGTGGTGACCCTAAGTGACCTAAACTATGTACACTCGTCCAAGTGACGCCACTGTCCCTAATCTATTTGATTTTCGAAACTTTGGTTCATCATCTGTTTAATTTAGTTCAATATTTTGGTTCGTTGTCTATTGAATTTAGTTCGAAATTTCAATTCATTTTCTATTTAATGTAGTTTGATATTTTAGTTGTTTGTCTATTAATTGTCATGTAACGTTTGAGATTTTGGTTCATTGTCTATTGAATTTAGTTCGAGATTTCGGTTCATTGTCTATTGAATTTAGTTCGAGATTTTGGTTCTTTGTCTATTGAATTTAGTTCGAGATTTCGGTTCATTGTCTATTGAATTTAGTTCGAGATTTCGGTTCATTGTCTATTGAATTTAGTTCGAGATTTTGGTTCTTTGTCTATTAATTGTCATGTAAAATTTGATACTTTTGTTCATGGTATATAAATTTTATGTAACATTCGAGATTTTGGTTCTTATTCTATGAATTGTAATGTAACTTTCGAGAGTTTGGTTCATTGTCTATAAACTGTTAAGTAACTTTCGAAATTCTGTCTATTACTTGTCATGAAACTTGAGATTTTAGCTCATGGTATATTAATTTCATGTAACGTTTGATATTTTGGTTTTGTGTCTATTCATTGTCATATAGGGCCTAACATTCGAATTTTTTGCGATTTATTTAAAAAAATATTTTTCGATTTGGGATTATTTTACCAATCCTTGTTTAAAAAAGTGTTGACCTAATCGTTTAAATTCGGGCTGATTTGTACAGTAGACCCAGATCCGAGTAGAACGTACCTCCGTTGGGATAGCATTGGATGTACTCGTCTTGAAAACAGGAACAATCCTCACAGTCGTTTTTAGCGAGGGCCTTCACAAACTGGCGATCTTTGTAGGTCTTTCCTTCGTACGTGCATGAGTTGTATGCTGAGGAATACATACATGGTGAAAACATACAGACGGGGTAAGTTGGTGGTGAAATCATGTGACCGGGAGTCGGACATTTTCCAGAATGGACACTTGCCAGAATAGGACAAATGCCCGAAAGGACACTTGCACGAATAAGACAAATGCCCAAATAAACATTTGGCCGAATGCAAAATCGACAAAAAAATTGTAGACCACCCATGTGACCATTTTGTTTTCCTGATAGAACTACTATTTTATTTGATAGTCAAATTATTGAGTAAGCTAAAAGAAAAAAATGATTTAGGCCTATAGATGTAGGTTGTATTGGTGATAGGATCAGGTAAATTCCCTCATACATCATTCAAATACAAAACTACTAGCTTGTATGATATGAAAAAAAGTAATATGACGTGTTAATTTTGATGTATAAAAATTATGCAGAGCAGGAATTGAAATAGTATGATTTGTAGGATTTGAACTCGAGACTTTCAGGTTAGCAGTCTAGCGCTCTATCGTTCGGCACGGCACCCCTAACACAACGGTAGCTGACTACCCAATTTGTCCAGTCATTTGAAAATTTCTATTACAGAATTAATTGAGTTCTAAGCCTGAAACATTGATCTGGCATGCTAACAGTCCTGAACTCAACCCTACCCCTCTACACCAAAAATGAGTTATCAACCTCTAATAACAATTCATTGTTCAAGTCGGTCATAGATCAAAGCAGATATATAGGTCTACTTTATAAAACATATACGAAGTATGATTTTAGTTGCAACTGTATTCAGGTTGAAAATGTATTTTTTTTATAAAACTCAACCTCATTTAACTATTTCAATCACTACAATTACAATCATTGCGAAGACAATGATTACAATCACTACAGTCACTACAATCATAATCGCTATTCTCGATCGCTACAATCACAATCATTACACTCACAAAAATTACAATGGCTACAATCACTACAATTACAACCAACATATTCACCTCAATTATGATCAACACATTCACTACTACTACCATGATCACTACAATCGATTCAATAATTACAAACACACTTACCAATCCTTGCATCTTTAACCGTAACTACAACAACAACCACTTTAATGACCACAATCTTAGTAAATACAATCATAACCACGCTCACTACAAGCACACTTACCAATCCTTGCACCTTTAACCTTATTCTGGCCGTTGGTTAAGGTACAGATTCCCAGCAACAGAATCAAAACTAGACAGACAGTCTTCATGGTTTATCTGTATACAACAAAATGTTACATAAAAGTTAACACTTAGCAAGATATTCGATTATTTTGTGAAATCGATTAGAGTGTGTTTTTGATCAATATTGATACGTAACAAGCTATTCGATTATTTTATGAAACCGAGAAGTTAGTAAAATTAAAATTTATATAACAACTTATACGATTATTTTATGAAATCGATTATTAGATAACTGTATGTGTGTTAGTCTATGTTCTATTTCGTGTGAGTTTATACGCGTGGTAAACGTAGGCCTACACATATTGCATCATATAGTCATTAGCTAAAGCAATTATCGTCAAAAGATAATTAAACAATATAACTCATCCAGTTAACCTGTTCGATACGTATAATGTATTCAGTAGAGTGGTTTCAAAGTACCAATTTGCAGGTATCGCTACGCTAAATTTACCGATACCTAATGCTCTTTAATTAAATTAAAGTTAATTAAGATAACGATCTTGGCAAGGGCCTTAATCATACATTTAACCCCGAAGTCTTCTAATTTTAAAATTTATAAATCTTAAACTACCTTATATATCTTAAACGAAACATGAATAATTCGGCAATTTTTTATTGTATTCATTGATCTACCTGAAATAGATCTATAATTTTAATCACCTTTAAACAAGTCTTAGAATCGAAATCGAAATATAGATCCGTGACTAAAGCTAATTTAAACCTCACAAAAAGACCTCACTGTGTAGCTCGAAGCAATTTGTTAAACTCGACTTATGCCAGGTACTTGTCAAAG